TATAGAAGAGCATCCAGCACCCCCCCCCCCCCCACCCACAAGCCCCACCCCATCAAGCCCCACACAACCCCAGGAAGATTGAAGTATGTGTGAGGGTGACCCCTGGCCACCAGCGGTCACATAAAGTCTCTATAAAGGAGCCCCTAACTGGAGGGTCTCTAGTATTTCACGCCTGGAACAAACTCCTTGGCCTCTGGGTTCAAGCTGCTCTTGCGCTGTGGAAGAAAAAACAGATAAAGTACATATTACAACATTAAAATCTCACCAAAGTTTATTTGAAATCTACAAATTGGTTTCCTTCCAGGAAGGATGTGAGATTCGTTTGGCTTAAATACCTGTAAATCAAGCATCAACTCATTACGCTGTAATACTTACTGCAATGTCTTCGGCGTTTCCGTCACTGACCGACAGCCCGCTAAGCTGCTGTTGGATCTGCCCTACTCCAGGGGGAAGGTCTCTGGCTGGAATGAACCAATCCTGATCCTCCTCCTCCAACATCTCCTGGAAACAGCGCTCAAGAAACTCCTGCTCCAGCAGTTCCTCCTCCACCTGCAGCAAGATGTCCAAACCATCAAAATTTAGTGGTCATTGGCTACTGTATGAATTCATATTAGACATGCAAGTAATTCAGCTGATTATGCCGGGTGTTTAAAGAATATAAACATAAAATGTGTATGAATTGTAAGGTGCCACTTTTTAAAGAGTCATTATGGTATTTCTTCTGACTTGCTGTACAGTTATAGATGGAGAGAACAAACACTGCAAAGTGTGGGAAAAAAACAAAAAACTAATTAAACTGCAAATGTGAAAACAAATCAGACGGTGTAACTTGAGACACGAAGTAACAGTCGTGGCAGTCAGACAGTACGCAGCGAAAGACTGTCTCGCTCTCAGTCAATCTCATCAGATTATTTTATATATAGCAATAAACAGTGGTTTGTATTACAAAAAAAAAAAGAAAAAAAATAGCCAACAGTAAACAAATCATAAATGCTCTGATTTCTCAAACATACACAATCAGCATCATAAAAAAACGACACTATTTTGCAACCGCTTTATTCACTTAAAGGTGACACATGAAAATCTGACTTTTCCAGGTTTTAAGTGCTATAATCAGGTCCCCAGTGCATCTACCAACCAAGGAAATGTGAAAAAGATTAACCCAGTATCTTGGTTTTGGGAAGCCTTTTTCTGCAAGCGTCTGAGAAAACGAGCGCATCTGATTTCGCTCTCTTGGTGACGTGTCAAAGGGATTTCATTATAATATTACCACCCCTTAATCTGTAAATTTACACCCACTGTGCAGTTATTGTGTTTTCGCAAGCGACAACGGTGTACTTACAACCCTCTACATTGCGAGTAAATCACTCGCATATGCGACAATCTTACTCTGGGCGACTAAATGTCTAACATTAGCCATTGGCTAATAAATTCTTAGATTTTACACGCCAGTATGTGTGTGAGAGGCGTTCAACACATTTTCACTCGATAAACACGCTGACTGAGACAATCTTACTCTGGGCGACTAAATGTCTAACATTAGCCATTGGCTAATAAATTCTTAGATTTTACACGCCAGTATGTGTGTGAGAGGCGTTCAACACATTTTCACTCGATAAACACGCTGACTGAGTGCTTGAGTTTCACTCTCCGTCAAGCGATCTGTACTATTTGGATGCGCTCAATGGATCATGTCATGTACTCAATGGATGCGCAGTATGTAGCACGCAGCGCACCTGTACTTGACGTACCGTAAACTAGTGTGAAGGCGCACGACTCGCCGTCGCTTTACTGATAGCGCTGTGTTTCTCACACATGCAAAGAGAGAGAGCGAGAGTCTTGCATACCACGCTGAATCGACGCACTACATGTAAACCATAT